AAGCTGGATCTGATTCTTTGGCCTCTGGAGGCATCAAGGTGGTTTGAGAGGCATGCACTGTGGGGAACTGGAGACCGAGGACAGTTCCTATGTCTGGGCAGTCTGGTCCCAGCGTAGGCACCCTATATTTCAAAGGGAGCTCTAGCAGAGGAGGAAGTGTCCCTTGTCACATCCTAGAGACCCACGCTCTGGAGAGAGCGTTTTCACTGTTGCTGTGGGCTGTTGAGTAAGTGTTGTGAGGGTACAGGGCTTCAGGGTTGAATATGTTTGGGAAATAGTGAAGTAAGCAAAGAGAAAGAAATGTTTCTGACCTAGTACTTCTCAGAGCCTTTACTATGGTGATTGTGGGAAAAATGGACAAGGGAAGTGTGGACCTTGCCTTCTGGGAGCTCACAGTCACTGGAGGCAATGGACAAGACACAGGGACACAGCAAGTGTCAGGGGGTTGGAGCGCTATGAAGAGAAATGTGAATGATGAGGGGAGGCTGAGCGGTTTCCTGGGGAGGTTGACATTTGAGCAGAGACCTGAAGGAGGTAAGGAAGGAGGGAAGGGGGCAGCTGTGTCTGGAGAAGACAGGCCTCGGCAGAGGAACAGCACATGCAAGGGCCCTGAGGCTTCTGTATTTGAGAAACAACATGAGGGCTAGTGGTTGGATCGAGGGCTGAGTGGGAAGATGGTAGAACATGAACTTCACAGAGGTTAGCTTCCAAAGGCTGCAGTATTCAGAGCTTGTTGGGGAATCCTTGGAGGGTTTGGGCAGGGGAATGATACCTGGGGACATGCTGCCTCATGAGTTTATACTATCAAACACCCTCATAAGATCAGCAGCAGAAGCAACAGCTCTAGGGTCTCACAAGCCTGGGAGGTGGGCATGGTTAAATCCCATTTTACAGGGGAGGAAACTGAAGCTCAGAAAGATGTGCTTGTCGTACACAGTAGGTCTCAAAATTATTTCTGGAACAAATAATTGAATTGAGAGATACATTGTTGTTGTTGTTTTTTTTTTCACAAAAAGCTTTCCCTGTCACTTAATATTCTTCAGAACCATCATTTTGAATGGCTGCATAGCATTCAATTCCAGTCCCATTCACATTCCCTTTGCCCGGTGGCCAGGAAATCAGGTTGTAGTTCATTGTTTTTGTTTTTCTATTCATAGCAATGCTGTAGTAAATACTCTTGTTAAATCTTCCCGAATCTCCTTCATCATATGGCGAGGGTCAATTTCTAAAAGAACAGTTGCTAGATCAGAGTATAGGCCTATTGATACAGCACAAAATTTCTCAAAATTTTTTGAGAAATATGACTATGTTGTCATCCTAAAAGGACATCCCAACTGACCTTCTCACCTGCCATGTTTGGAGGGACATATTTGGACTGAGTTGTCTTTTAATTCACTGCCTTATTTTGTTCTCTCATAGAATATCCTTAATAGTGTTACTTTATTTTTTTAATAGAAGATACATTTATAAGGTGTAGAACCCAAAAGGTATAAACAAATATTTTCTTAAAAGCTTTTCTTCTTTCTCTACTCCTCAGTCAGCCCAGTAGCCACCACTGGGACTAGTTTCTGGTTGGTCCTTCCAAACAAGTTCAGCTACAAGCAAATATGTATAGTGAGAACTCCCTTTAAATTACATGAAACAAACAAAAAAATACAGCCATAGGGTGCATAGAAGATAGGGAGCTGATACCTGAGGCTGATTTCATCTTGGTTTCGAGTTGAGTGAGGAAAATACAGACAAGGTCAGGATGCTGGAGGAGGCCTGGAAACAGCCTCAGGGCAGATACTATTGTTGCTCACGTGCTGGGTCAGGATAAGGTCGTAATGATCCTCCAGCTCCCTGTGATCTGGGCACAGTAATGACAGCTTGTCCACCTTGTTTTTACGGGCTCTCCCTCCCCACCCCTACATGGTTAGGGAGGGGGAGAACTGGGATGCTTTCAATCTCTCTGCATTGGCACCAGGTACTTAACAAATCCTTGAAGATAGGGGGCACCTCCAATACATTGTTGGCAGGTGAAGATGCACAGAATCTTAGAACCCAAATGGTGCCCAGATGGTCTCTCTTTGTGAGACCTAGTTTGGAGTCTAGGGGAGGTTCCCTCTATCCTCTGTTTGCCTCACTTTCTTACTCTGGGAATGAGGCTCCTCATTTTTTAAAAAATATATTTTTTCTTTATTGATTTTAGAGAGAGAGGAAGGGAGAGGGAGAGGGAGAGGGAGAAGGAGAAGGAGAAGGAGAGGGAGAGGAAGAAGAGAGAGAGAGAGAGAGAGAGAGAGAGAGAGAGAGAGAGAGAGAGAGAGACTTACAACCTAGGTATGTGCCTTGGCCCAGTGGGAATTGAATTGAATCTGTGACCTCATGGTACACCAGACAACACTCCAACCAACTGAGCCACTCGGTCAGGGCAGAGGCTCAGCATTTTTATGTTATTTTATTTGTTTTAAGCTCCAGGGCATGCAGGGCAGAGGCAAGCTTTGAAGATGCCAGAGCCAGCATGTCCTTTACCAAGGCATTTCAAGTATCTCCCAATCCCTGATTACAGGTGTGGACCTTAGAGAAGAATCTGACCACCACACCATTGTCGTCATTCCCGACCTTAAAATGGGGAAGCTGAGGTCTGGGAAGCACTCTAGCAATGTGCTCACATGGTCATATGCTTTTGTAAAATCTGCCAAAGCAAAGTACTCTAACCTCACTCTGTTAAAGCCGCCATCTCCTTCCACTCTCACTTCCCCTGGTGTCAGATGGTGTGGGAGTGAGTGCTAACATTTTGGGGATCTGGCTAAGAGGAACGTGACATTTTGCTTGGGTTTCGTGGTTTTATTTATGTTGTTTCCAGTCACTTCTGTGAATAAATTATTACCAACTGACCTGGTGTAGGAATGGCTTCCAGGAATACCCCTACCTGGCACACTGCACTGACTCAGCTGGCACTGTGACATGGACGTGCAAAGTCATAGGTTATATCTTGATACATGTGAGTGGTCTTATATGTTTGTGGAAAGTAATATGGAGGTAATTCATAAAAATAATGCTATTTTTCTGGATTTTGTAATGTTTGTGGAACTTGTCATTTGTCATGGTTTCTTTTATCTTTCTAACCTAGTAATTACTTTATTACCTTATTTTATATTTGTAATTTTGTAGTGTTTTTGTTGTTGTTGTCGTCAATCCTCACCCAGAATATTTTTTCATTGATTTTTGGATAGAATGGAAGGGAGGAAGGGAGGGAGAGAGAGAGAGAGAAACATCAATGTGAGAGAGGTACATCGATTGGTTGCCTCCTGTACGACCCTGACCAGGGCTGGGGATCAAGCCTGCAACCCAGGTTTATGCCCTTGACTGGGAATTGAACCCGAGACCCTTTGGTCTCCGGGGCCGACGCTTAACTGCTAAGCCAAACTGGCCAGGGCTGTCATTCTTTTCTTAAATAAGATTCCTTAAATGGTATAAGCCTCAGGAAGTACAAAGTCTGGATCTGCCCCTGCTCAGTTTTCTGTGTCTTTTAGGATCATAGGACATTCCTCGCCTTTCCTCACTGCTCACTGCCAAACAGGTGTTGCACATTTACATCAGGATATAATAAAATAGTTGAGAGGACACCTGCTGGAACCAGACAAACCTTTGTTTTCTCATGTATAAAATAGGCAAAATAGGATCGATCTTCTCAGATAGTAATAAAGTCAAATGAGAAAATGTATGTAAGGTCTCAAGCACAATCTGGCAGAAGGCACAGTTAGTGCCAGGTTTGATATTTACCTGGTCCTCACGGATATAGCCAGATGCCCTGTTTCTAATAGTGTCTATTCTGATTTGGTAGGTGCCCAGGCCAGAACACCCAATCATTGTTAGCTATTGGTATATTAGTAGTCCCCTCCTTTGTCGACCCAAGGCATGTACACAGTAAATGCTCAGTTATTGGCAATCCAATCCAAGATTTTGAAAGACACCAATTTGAATAGAAAACAGGCGGCTTCTAAATTGAGCAATGCCCTAGATTCAAACAGTGACTCACAGCTATGAAATTTCCTCACCTCCAAGAGCCTTTTGAGTTAACTTATTCTATCCTGTCTTTTTTTTTTTTTGACATGTTTAAATGTTGGAATTTTGGAAAACCCACAAAAGCACAAAGAAAAAATTAACTGCTGTTATTATAAATGATTATACACCTATACATGTGATACTATAATTATGTATTTAATACATATTTATGTTGTACACAGTGCTTTGAAACATACTTTTTAAAAACCTAACACTTTCTTAGCATTTTCTTTATACTTTAAATATCTTTTAACTATATCATTTTTAAAGACTGCATAATGTTCCTTATCAATAAATGGGGATAATTAAAGGTACCCATTTCAAAGGGTTATGCCATGAGCACTGACAAGTTATGTCACCTGGCTTGTAAAAAGCTCAATAAACTTAGTTATTCCCCAAAATGGATTTATATAACCAACCCCCTTTCGCTGATCGTTGAGGTTATTTCCATTATTTTGCGATTATAAACAACTCTGGGCTATATTAATCTTTGCTTATATCTTTTGTCATTTCCTTATTAATTTCGAGACTGCTGGGTAAGCACATTTTAAAACTAACCCGTTCATTGTGCTGTTGGAGTACAGGGAGGGAAAGGGGCTTGCCTGGGCTCATACAGCGAGTTAGCTGCAAAGTCGGAACCAGGAACCAGCCTCGGGACCCTAAATGGTGCCTCATCCAGCTGGGGACCAGGAGAAAAGTCCAGGTTGAGCAACGAGGCACGGGGGCTAAGGCAGCCGCGGGAAGAACCGGAGGCTAGCGCCAAGGAGCGAGGCAGGGCTGCTGAGCCCGGCGCTCGCCTGCGGAACCAAAGTTAAACAGTCGCCTGGCAACCGGGGCGGCGCGGCGTTCGAACGGAAAAGAGGAACCAATCAGGATGTCCGGGGCAAACCATTTTCGTGACGGGGGTGGAGTGGGGGGGGCACGCTCACTTCCCCTTCCTCTGCGCACCAGGACCTTCGTTCCGGTGGGGGCCTTGGGACAGTCAGGTACCCCCTGCTCAACTCGGGTGCGGAGAACAGCTCCGAAGAGGTCCCTCTGCGGGTCCTTACGCGGGGCTGGATCCCCTGAGCGGCGTTGGGCGTGGCCATTCCTGGCCCGGGTCCGAGCTGTCAGCCTCTCCACGACCTTAACTGGAAGAGCCGGGACTCGCCTAGGGTGGGCTCCAGGTGAGGGCGCGGGTGGTCTGTGGCGCGAGCTCGGGTCGGGGGGGCTCTGTTCACCGAGAGCTTGCGGTGTGTGTCCTCCCCGCGTCATACCTGTGGGGAGGCGGTAGCACCCCATTTCACAGATGAGAATGCTGAGTGAGGCTCAGAGAGGCACGTGTCTTAACCCAGGCGAGGTCTGGCAGAAAATCCAATCCAGGTACTTTTGCTCTACCTTGCCACCTCTAGCCTAGGGAGATCTAAATTTGCCCTGAGATGGGCAATTGATGGTCACTTTTTCAACCTTTTAGGAGCAGGAACAAGGCCCATGGGCCCTGGCTGGATCACCTCCCTCCTGCCCCTTCCATCTATCTTCTCCAGCATTCTAGCAGTTGGACTTGGTCCTTCTGTCCACGGGGTTCTGAATTACAGAGCTGTTTCTCTCAGAGGGCTGCTCCGTATCCGGCGGGACTGACACTTCTGGGCTGATGAGGGCTGGGCAACAGGTGCTCTGACCCTGGAGTCACTGTCGGACTCTTGGAAATCTGTCCCAGACTGGGGGAAAGGATAGAGGCATCCCCTCAAAGGAAGCTGCTGGTCACCAGACCCAACTGGAGCCAGCTGGAGACTTTGGTGTTGGGAGTGGGCGGGACCTCTTCCTGGTGAGCTTCTGACCTAGACTATGGCCTGCCTCCTGGGGACCCCCATCCCCACCTCCAAATTGCTATTGTTGGTTTCCTTTTGCAAGTGGGGAAGTTGAGGTTCTATGAAGATAAGCCCCATTGACCAAAGTCACACAGTCAGACTTGACACTGCTGGAGTTGGCGCTCCGTCTGTCTGGCTTCAGTCTTAGAATCATAGACACTCAGAATCATAGCATCTGAGAGTCTTGAATTTCTTCAAGGGGAGTTATCCTCTCTCCTCCAAACTCTCTTCCTGGCTCTGGGGAGAGGAGCTCTTGGAACTCAGAAGAAAACAAGTCTTTCATTCATTCTTTCAACAAATATTTATTAACTTTATATGCCCTGCCCTCTCCTTGTCTCTTTTGTAGCAGTTACTCCATTTGATGTTCTATATATTTTACTTTTTAGTGAGTTCATTATCTTTCTCAACTGGAATGTGATGCAAGGAGGGGGTTTAGGATGCTGTCAATGCAAAATTGAGGGATGACAAAAAATCTCTGTAATCAAAGTAACTAATATTTATTGACCATTTGTGGTGTAGTCTGTTGGCTGAAGATTACTCATAAAGCCTCTATTCAGCACAGTCCCCCCATCTTTGTCACAATTACAAGTACATCCCTCAATCCAGCTGTTTCACTTCTGGGCAAAGTGATGTAGGTGCAGTTAGGCTGCAGTGTGGTGTGTTATAGGAAGAGACTGGACACAGACTAAGTGGCATCAGTAGGGGCTGATGGGCTCTTTATGTACTGAGGTGGCACAATGTATATTAGTCAGTAACATATATTATTAAGTGTATTAATAACATATATTAATAACATATTATTAAGAACAACATATTATTGAGAAAAAGAGCAAGGTGAAAACAGTGCACACAGTGTGTTACTATATGTGTAAAAAAAAAAAGGAAGAATATATGTCCATTGTTGCTTGTATCTGCCTAAAATCTCCCAGGAAGGACACAGCTGTTTGGTTACAGTGGTGTCTGTAGGGAGGGGAGTTGGGTGTCTAGGAACAGGAATGGGAAGGAGTTTATTTTTACTTCATTCCCTTTATAGGTCTTGAATTGAGCCAAGTGCATATATCACCTGGTTGAAAAATTGTATATCTATATCTATATATCTATTAGATTATATATTTAATCAAAAGACCACTGCCCGGTCTGTGATCTGTCATTGACTTGCTGTGTGACTTTGGGCAAGGTTCTTCATATCTCTGGTCCAAGATAAGAAGCCATATTGGTGAGCTCAGGCCTGAACAGAGGGCAATTCAGGCCAGGAAGTGGGCTTGGCTATAGGTCTGCCCCAACCTTCACATTTCCCATTCTGTGTGCCAGGCCCCTCCCTAAGGCTTTGCATGTAGTATCTCTCACATTGTCTCCACAAGCCCCTTTGTCCCTATTTTGCAACCTCAGATGCAAATGGAGGCCCAGAGAATTGAGTTGGTGGAGGTGGGCCTTCGGTGGGCCAAACAGAAGATTGCTGCCTCAAGTGACTGCCCCCAAATCCTTCCCACAGCCTGCTCACCTCTGCCTTCCTGAGGTTTGTGCAAGGCTGCCCGGGGCAAGGCTGATGCCAGGGAAGTCAGGGCAAGAGTGTCTAGGAAGACTCCAGAAATAGCATGGGGCCTGGCATGGCCCTGGGGGATGCCAGCTAGATGGGTGTCTCTGACCCTGACAGCTGGGCTGAAATTGAGCTGGGGCTACCCTACTGACCAGCCCCCTCCCTGATGCTTGGAGCCTTCCTGATCCTCTTCTGGGGCAGGTGAGGTCCTCCCTGTCTCTACCCAAGTCTGGGCCAGGCTTCTGCTGAAGAGAAGGAGAGAAACAGGTGGAAGGAAGGGGTGGGGGTGGGGGTGGAGAATGTCATGGAAATGATAAACATCGGAAATTATACCTCCTGCCTCCTCAGCAAAGAATGAAAATCATTAACACCTCTTGAGCACTCATTGTGTGCTAAGTACTTTATAAGTAGGAACTAACTTAATTCCCTCAATATTATGATGCAGGGGAGTTACCACTGTTACTATTTCCACCTTACAAAGTGAATCTGAGCACTAGAGAGGTTTAATAACTTGCACAAAGTCACCTAGAGCTGGAATTCAAATCCATGAAGTCTGGCTCCAGACTATGTACTCTCTTTTTCTTTTTGTAAAATGTATTAATATAAAATTGGCCATTTTAACCATTATCAAGTGTATAGTTCACTGGCATTGAGCACCTTCACATGGTTGTGGAAGCATCACCAACATCCCTCTTTAGAACTTTTTCATCTTCCCAAATGGAATTCTATACTCATTAAACACTGATCCTCCATTCTCCTTCCTTCTAGCCCCTGGCAACCGCCATTCTAGTGTCTGCCTCTGAATTTGACTACTCTAGGTACTCATATAATTGGAATCACACAATATTTGTCTTTTTGTATCTGCTTATTTCACTTAGCATATAGGTTTACCTATATTATAGTATGTGTCAGAACTTCCTTCATAAGGCTAAATAATGTTCCACTATATGTGTATATAACATTTTGTTGACTTCTTAATAGTCACTTGTGTTGTTTTCACCTTTTTTTTTTGTTGTTGGTTAATCCTCATCTGAGGATATTTTTCCATTGATTTTTAGATAGAGTGGAAGGGAGGGAGGGAGAGAGAGAACCATCAATGTGAGACACATCAATTAGTTGCCTCTTGCATGACCCCTGCTGGGGGGACCGAACCTGTAACCCAGGTATGTGCCCTTGACTAGGAATCGAATCTGAGAACATTTTGGTCTGAGGGCTGACACTCTAACTGCTGAGCCAAACTGGCTAGCAGTTTCTACCTTTTGGCTATTGTGACTAATGTTGGTATGAACACGGGTGTACAAATATCTGTTCAATTCCCTGATTTTAATTCTTATAGGTATATATCAAGAAGTAGAATTGCTGGATCCTATCGTAATTCTATTTAAAAATGTTTGCCTCACTGCATACTCTTTCCACAGTGGCTGTACCATTTACATACCAATAGTGCACAAGGGTTCTAGTTTCTCTACATCCTCACCAATTCTTGTTATTTACTTACTTACTTACTTACTTTTTGCTGTTGTTGTTTGTTTCTTTAAATTATTTTTTATTTTTTATAATGGCCATCATAATGAATGTTACATGGTATCTCATTGTGATTTTGATTTACGTTTTCCTAATGATTAGTGATGTTGAGCATCATTTCATGTGCTTATTGTCTGTTTATTCACCTTCTTTGGAGAAATGTCTATTTAAGTGACTCTGCACTCTTATAACCTCTGACAGAAGTAGGTTAACATTCTAGGCTGATGAAGTCCTCAACCAGGAGCTGGGCACTGGAGCATCTGGTTGGTTGAATAGCTATCACAGCTCACACTTTGGTGGTGCTTGTCATGCACAGGCCTCATGCTGGGAGGGACTCACTGTTAGGAGTCCTGTTTTACAGTTGAGGAAACAGAAGCATGGAGAAATGGAGTAGCTGATCACTGGTGGAGCTAGGATTTAAACCCAGCTGGCTTGTTCAGAGTCCATGCTGCAGAGCTGGCCAGGGAGATGGAGTGGAAAAGGGCACTGCAGGCAGCGGGCCCAGTGTGTGCAGAGGTTTGGAGACAGAACAGGACTCAGTTAGAAGTGGCCAGAGCCCACCTTGAATGGGGGTGACTTGAGGCTGGAGGAGAGGAGTGGGGCAGGTGGGGGAGGCCTGGAAGGAGCCTTTGAGGTAGCCTGGTTCCAGTCCTGCCACTTGGTCAATGGTTTCCCCTCTTCTGTTTGGTCCCTGGAGGAAGACAGCACAGAAGAGTGTGATGGAGTTCCCAGGTCAGTGGGGGGGGATAGGAAATAAGTGAATATCTAAAATGACAGCATAATGAATGCTTGGAAGGGAATGGACCAGGTGAGACAGTTGGTGGGGACCTCAGAGTGGCCAGGGAGTTCTCTCTGAGGGGGTGACATTTGAAGTGAGACCTGAAGGAGATGAGAGACGAGGTTCCAGGCAGAGAACAGATGGTTCAAAGGCCCTGAGGCAGGAAAGAGCTTGTTGTGTTGGGAAACAGTTGGGGGGGCTATGTGGCTGGAGCAGAAAAAGGTGCCGAGGTGAGAAAGGAGGGCAGGGACTGGATCTGAGAGGGCCTGAGAGCCTAGTGGAGAGTTTGGATTTTATTCAAAAGTGATAGGGAGCCACAGTGGGGCCTTTTTGAAAATCCTCAACCTAGGACATTTTTGCATTTATCTTCAGATAGAGCAGGAGGGAGAGAGAGAGAGAAACATCAATGTGAGAAAGACACATCGACTGGTGCCACTCACACAACCCCAACCCGGGCTGGGGATAAATTGTGCCCTTAGT